GGCACCAGCACACACTGTAGAATGGTCATCATGAGTCCGCTTATAAAAGGCAGAATACGGAGAGAGACTGCTGCAGGTTCCCGCCCCCTCTAATCCCAATCACCTCTGAATACTCCCCACCTGGGCTAAAACAGAGCCCCCCTCAAAGCTTCTACTTCAATGTGCTACAGTGCTGCTGAGTCCATGACTGGCTCCAGCTAGCAAGCGAAGGTGCGGAAAAGGGCTGTGTCACGTGCTTCAGAGCACAGCAGGAGCAATTACTTTGTGCAGGAAGTGCAAAGGGAAAGCCCGGGAGGGAGGCATTTAGAGTAGGGCTGCCAAGCCGCGGCGGGGGATCCGTGCGTCTTCACAGGATCCCTGCCGCGGCTTGGCAGCCCTAATTTAGAGGGAAGGAGAATCTCTCCCTCATTGGCAAAGTCTGAGAGGGAGGCGGGAAGAGGGAAGGAATTGCCCTCTCTCATTGGCAGAAGACTTGTGACAGATTTCACAACACCCCCTAGTGCTGATTGGAGGGACATGTCAAATGATTGGTGGGGACTCACCCCTTAGTGCACCACCGCACCATCGCTATGGGCCAGGTCTCTTTTTGAAGCAGGAACTCCTTTGCATATTAGGCGACACACCTCTAATTTAGCCAATCCTCCAAGAGCTTACAGTAGCCCCTGTAAGGAGAGTTCTATAAGCCCTCGGAGGATTGGCTACGTTAGGGGTGTGTCGCCTCATATGCAAAGGAGTTCCTGCTACAAAAAGCCAACCCACCTCTGGACGAAATTGTCTAGTACTGAACAAGACTGAGCTTAGTCATGCTGGAGAAATGTTCGTGACGTTTGCGTTTCAGTGATATAAACAAGATTGGATTATTTTGTGCTGGAAGTGAACCATAAACTCATTCAGTGGCCTTTTCTCACTTAGGTTCTGCCTTCACATCTGTAGGAGGATGCTCTCCTAGTTTATGGGACTATTGTAATTGGGGCTGAGATCTTTTTCAGTAGCCATGGGAGCTGTGCTTTTCAGCAGACATTCACAGACGATAATATCTCCATGTCATATAAATCTTCACCTGCTGCTTTCTACAAAGCAAATACCTGTTTAGAGGCACAAGAGCAGGCCAGACTTGTAGGGGGTGCATTCAGGTCAGCTGTGAGTCTTAATTGTAAAGATTAGTCTGACATCACAGTGTACCGGGTACATTTTGAACACTTGCACTGTGTAAATGCTAGTGTTGTTATTTCACGAATTGTATCAGGATGGAATCCATGTCATTGATACTGGGGCAACATAGCTTTTAGACAGAGCACATGCTTGGTATGTGGAGATGTCACATGAACATGAAAAGGTTCTCAGGTAGTATGACTAGGAATGATCTGTTTCTGAGATCTTGGGGAGCTCCTGACTCTTAGAATAGATCAGCTGGCCTAGATAGATCAGTGGTCTGTCTTAATATAAGCAGTTTGATGTGCTCACCAAGGCTCTCCTTCAGTTGCCTTGTATATGCACTTGCTGCTTAAAAGCTTCAGTGTATGAATCTTGTCTGGGGAACAGAATAGGGTTACATGCAACAGTCTCCTCCTCTGGCATTTAAAGAAGAAGCAGGAGAAGAGTTGGATTTATACTCTGCCCTTCACTTGGAGTCCCAGAGCAGCTTACAATCTCCTTCCCCTCCTGTGAGGTAGGTGGGGCTGAGAGAGCCCTGAGAGAACTGCTCTGAGAGAACTGTAACTGACCCAAGGCCACTAAGCTGGCTGCATGTGGAGGAGGAGTGGGGAATCAAACCCGGTTCTCCAGATTAGAGTCTGCCGCTCTTAACCACTACACCGAACTGGCTCTCTTAACCATGCAAAGCCCAGGACACACAGCAGTGTGGACAATAGGACAGCCAAGTAGTGATGGGCAGGGTAACCACTCCACTTGGGCCTCTTCCCAGATATATGCTCCAAGCCACTACTCAAGTGGGCCAGTCGGTGACTGTGAGTAGGGAAATGGTTCCCAAAGCAGAAGACTGAAAGATTATCCAGATAGCAAAGTGGGGTCTAGGGCCTGCCCTACCAGTAAGAAAACCAATGTGGCGCAGTGGTCAGAGTGTCAGACTAGAATCTGGGGAACCCTGCTTCACATCCCCCATTCTGCCAGTGATGCTTGCTGGGAAACCACGAGACAATCGCTCAGCCTATCCCACCTCACAAGATTGTTGTTAGGGTAAAACAGAAGAGGAGCAAATGATGTAAGCTGCTCTCGGTCCCTGTTGGGAAGAAAGCTCTATATCAATATCTAAATAAATAAACAGAACGAAACAGGTGGCAGATTTTGGAGTGCTGTAAAAAGGGCAGCAAACTGTCAGTCAACTAATTTATTATTTTTTGTCACCATGGAGACATGAAAACACATGACGCTGTCTTGTACTCAATCAAACTGTTGGTCCATCAAGGTCAGTATTGTCTGTTCAGATTGGCAGTGGCTCTCCAGAGTCTCAGGCAGAGTTTTTTGCACATCGCCTACTGACTGGTCCTGTTTAACTGGCGATGTCAGGGACTGAACCTATGACTTTCTGTGTGCAAAGCAGAGGCTCTTCCACTGAGCTACAGCCCCTCCGATTGTTTATATTGTTTGGCTAAGGCACCAGAATGTATTGGCCCCTCTCTGACTGAGCCCCAGTTAATGTATTTAACATTCTACCTCACTTTACTTCCCCTCCTCTCCCAAAAAGAAGGTTCAAGGTGACTCACAAAAATAAAATGGTTAAAAGCCCATGAAAATGGAAATTGTAGGCCAACAATAGTTAACCACAGTCCCCCTGAAATAAAAGGTCTTTATGTGCTCACCTGAAGACTGGCAATACTAAGGTGATACTCAGGGCTTTTTTTGTAGAAAAAGCCCAGCAGGAACTCATTAGCATAACAGGCCACACCCAACAGCAGTAACTCATTAGCATATTAGGCCACATCCCTGACAGTGCAGCTCATTAGCATATTAGGCCACACACCATGCCTTCCCTTGCCTTCCTCAGGCACCCCACAGCTGCAGGGAGCCCAGGCAAGCCCCCCCCCTTGAAGGGAAGGCAGTTTAAAGCCCCGCAGCTGCAGGGTGCCCAGGCAAGCCGGCCCTTGGACAGGCCGGGGAAGGCATGGGGAGGCATTTAAATGCCTCCCCGATCCAGCCCCCCCCCTCCAGCCCTCTGTAGCCACGCACGCAGAGGTTTTGGCTGTAGTGGGCCTGGCCTACTCTGAAGCCAGCCGGAACTCTGTTCCTGTGCGTTCCTGCCCAAAAATAGCCCTGGTGATACTCCTTTTATTTCCAACAGAAGCCTATTCCATAAGGTTGTATAACAAAAAATGGCTATACGTTGAGTGTGATATACTATATTGGGAAAACACTGTAATTTTTAAGGAATATACATAAAATTCTATTTGAAATGACAAAAACCCCTCTTATTAACTATTATTTAAAGATGCAGTACAAGTACAGATTGAATTTAAACATATGAAGCTGAACCATAATACATGAGGTAACCACATAGTGTTAACCACGGCAACAAATGTCCCAGGTAAATCCCCGTTTTGACCCTTTGTCAGGCCGTAATCATATGGAAAAGCTAGGAAAGAGCTGAGGGGACTAGTGCAGGATCTGCACAGGCACGTATCCTCTGTTCCCAGTTGCACTCCACCACTCAAGTGTTATACCAAGCTGAGGAGCTCTACTATTTCCCTCGACACTAAGGCCTACTCAGTGTTCCAACCGGCTCTACAAAGTCAAAAGCCTTTGTGGAGCCATGAGGTTGGCTATTGCCAAAAAAGCTGATGAGAGGACTGAACTGGTTGTCACCTTCCTGAGGGATGGGAATATCGAGGAAAAGCTGTTCTGGGGAGCATAACTGGTGCATGGGTTCATAGAGGGGAGAGACAGTCCTTAAGGTATGAGGCTAGCTTGTCTGAAGAACTGGCCCTAGACTGGGTTTTCTCGGGTGTAGGGTTGCCAACTCCAGTTTGGGAAGTCCCTGGAGATTTGGAGGTGGTGCTTGGGAAGGCTGGGGTTTCAGGAGGGGTATGAGAGCTCAGTGAGGGTGTGATGGCATAGGGCCCACCCTCTGACACTGCTAATTCATCTAGGGGAACTGAAATGTGTCATCTGGAGAGCAGTTGTTGTTCTGGGAGAAATCCAGGTTCTGCCTGGAGGTTGGTAACTCTCAGGTGTAGCCATCAGAGTCTGGAATTCCCTGCCATAGGCTCACCATGCCTCCGTTCTCCCAGCCCTTTGCCAAAAACCTCTTTATTCCAAAAATTATTTGGTTTTGCTGTGTTCTGATTTGATGCTGTTTTAACCAGCAACACTTGTTTCAACATTGGTTGTTTCAAGTTGGGGCTCGAACAGGGAGACCGTGCACCCCCTAGAAGACCCTGGAAAAGATCACAAAAATATTTTCTTTTTTTAAAAAAAAACCCTAAGTTTTTATTTAATAGGCTTTCCCTCTGTGCTGCTTAGCTGATGGCATCGCTTGCAGAGCTCTTCCTATTCCACGTTTTAGGGCAGAACAAAAACTCGGTAGAATATTACAGGGCATTAATCATTACTCAAAAGCAGCTCTCATTAAAGAAAAGATTGGCGTTCCTTGTTTTAAAGTTTTTAATGGCTATTCTATTGCTGCTTTCAGATACTCTCACTGATTGCCTTTTTAAAGATTTCTTCCTCTTCTTCCTGTATCATAATTGTATTCTCTTTAATTTTCAACGTCATGTTGTAAGCTGCCCTTTCCAAAGGAAGGGAGAGGTAGAAACTAGAGCTGAAATCCAGTGCAGGTTTTCTCCAGTCTAAACCCATAGATTTCAATGAGCCTAGACTGGAGTAACTGTGCATAGGATTGCACTATAAATCTGCTAAGGAGGTGCCATGCATGTCTGTATACTTAACCTGTCTTTCCTGTGTCTCCCCAGTGCAGGAAATCCTGAAGGAACACGGAGAAGGAAGGAGTGGTGAGAGAATGAAGGAGCCAGCCGAGCGGGAGAAGCATGTGGTGGCAGTGGGTAGCTCGGTTTAACGGGCTCTGGCTGATGGTCTCATGGGCGTTGTCGATATTGGCGCTGACTTTGGGGTGCTGGGGGTTGGCGACCGCGGTCGCCACGCCACACGAACAGCATGCCTCCACAGGTGCCGCCGCTGCCACCGCCACCTCCAGCCAAGTGCCCCTGGACTGCCTGCTCGCTGACAGAGGACCGTTTCACCGAGCCCCAGAGTATGCTGACTTCATGGAGCGCTATCGGCAGGGTTTCACCACCAGGTACAGGATCTACAGGTAAGCCGGGGGGGGGGGGGACGGGGAAGGGGGAAGGACTGCAAGGGCATGCCGGACTGCTTTGGGAGGTGAAGAGCCAAAGGTGGATCTACCAATGAATGCCTGTGGGGCAGGGCTGCCATTTCCAAGGTTGGGGGAGCGATTCTCCCCCCCCCCCCGCCAGTGGCCGTCTTCACTCTGGCAAGCAGTGGCGGAGAAATGTGGGGGCCAGAATGGTGTCTCGCAACATCATGGTATCATTTATTTATTTGGTTCAATTTCTATCCCGCCCCTCCCGCAAGCGGGCTCAGGGCGGGTTGCGACATTAACACAAAACAATAAAAGTATAAACTTAACCCTTAAATGATGGCAACCAAACTGCATCACAGCTATTACACTGGTGCACTGGTGTTCAACAATGAAAGGCAGAAAGGGCTAGATCCCGAAAGGGATTCCAGATTATAAGTACCCTACCTTGGATAGGTAGATTGAGCTGCGGTGGCTCAAGTGGTTAAGACACTGAACTGCAGGCTGTGGAAGGTCAGTAGTTCAGCAGTTCGAGACCCGAGTTGCCGCATGACGGAGTGAGCTCACGTCTCTAGTTCCAGCTCCTGCCAACCTAGCAGTTCGAAAGCAAGAAATTGCAAGTAGATAAATACCTTCGGTGGGAAGGTAACAGTGTTCCGTGCACCTTGGTGTTTAGTCATGCCGGCCACATGACCACGGAAACGTCTTCGGACAGCGCTGGCTCTTCAGCTTGGAAACGGAGATGAGCACCACAACCCTAGAGTCGGACTCGACTGGCTTTTGAGCAAGGGAACCTTTACCTTTACCTTGGATAAACCGAGGCGGTTATCGTTCTCTGTCCTCAGAAATCGAAGACCATGGTACAGATGGTAACAGGGAGGTCACAGGATGGTAACGGGAGGAGCCAGATGATAGTTGACATCTGCTGCCTCACCCAAAAACCTGGTGGAAGGGCTCCGTCTTACAGGCCCTGCTGCATAAGTGGAAGTGATATCATGCCAAAACATTTTGAGTGAATTTTAGAGTACCCATCCATGCGCTTATAACATTTTGGTTACGTGGCTGGATGCAACATGGATCATGATGTTGCAGGATGCTGATCTGTGAGTCTCCTCCCCTCAAAGTTGCCTGAGAATGCCTACAGAATGGTACAGATTCAGTACAGACTGAAGCTGGTTAAATAGTCACGCTCTTCCTTGTTGGAATGGAAGATCCCTGCTCCTTTCCTCGGACATCTGCATGGGTTTCAGGGAAGACCTTGCTGTCATGGTTAGATGATTACAGTCGACCTGGACCTCAGCTGAGTGAAAAGATTTCTCCTCGGGATGGTAGCTTTGGGTGGCGGCTCAAATGAATACTGTGTTTGGCTAATGTTCTGCTAAGGAGATCTGGGTATTGTGGTACTGGGCAGGAAACAGGAAGTGCTTTCCTGGAGACCTACACTTATGTAAGGGCAAAGATCTCTCTTAGAGAATTCTCGGCAACTTGCTTTACTAGAGTTCCCAGGATTCTTTGGGAGAAGCAAGTGCAGCGAGTGATATAAAAGCAGTATATCTTTGCAGTGTAGATTCGTGCGGTACGACTGTTTGTGTCGACGGCTGGCTGAGAGGCCTAAGCATGAGGCAAAGCGAAGCAGCGGGCTTGGAGCAACATTTGAGATGATGGACTGGGAGGCGGGCAAATGTGACTCTTGGGGCTCCGTCCACTGCAAAGTTTTCCGGCATCAAAATAAATACAAAGTGTTCAAGAAAAGCAGTTTGATCTTAGGCAGCTTCCTTGTATTTCGGTGCAGCTTGTGCAGCAGAATTTCTTAGTGGATAGTGCCCTGTGCTAGTCTATGTGGCTGCACAGGCATAGGAGGCATTGGACTCTGGTGAATTATCATAAGATGTGGGCATGGCTTGAAGGCACACAAGGCTAAAGTCTGATTGATGGGTGGATAGAAGGCCATTTGGATGTCAAATGTGCCGTGAGCACCCTGGAGGAAAGGCGGCATGTCAGTATAATACAGGGGAACAGTCAAGATTATCTGTTTGTTAGCCATGTATACATGCTACAGCGAATGCACGTACAATCTGTGTACACTTGATTTTTCTTTGTCCATGTGCTGAGTAATTCTTAGGTTACATTCAATGCACGTGTGGCTGAACTGACATCTGACTGCTGATTATCTAGGTAGTGGGTCGTCCATCCCAGCACGAAATCATCTGTTCCATAGAGAAGCATGCAGAGATCCTTACTCACAATATGCAAGGATTTTTGGTTTGGGGATACTGGGAGCTCACGCACTGGCTCAGTGGTAGAACATCTGCTTGGCACCCAGAAGATCCCAGGTTCAATGCCTAGCATCGCCAGCTAAAAATATGCATGGGGTATCATAAGAACAAAACAGCAGTGTTTGTTTTGGGGGGGGGGTTGATGAGGCAGTCACTCCCCTAACAAATCCAGTGTGTATCAATGAGGTTCCTCTGCCATCTGGCATTCAATCCACTCAGCTCTTGGCCTGGTGGGCAAGCTAGGTATCATCTCCTTCAAGATCCTGTCCCTCCCTGAAAATCTGCACACACACCTGTCCAGGTGCCCCACCGTCCCGCGGAGGGGTCCCTTCTCAGAGTCGGAGAACCACTGCCATAGTGAACAAAAGGAATAGAAAAGGCAGGCATCCAAGATGTTTGGGAACAAAGAAACATGTGATGTACATGTGGTGGGAGGGGGGAAAATTAAATCTGGACCGTAGAACATCACATCAGGAGGTTAAGACACTGAACTGCAGACCGGAAGGTAGGTAGTTCAGCAGTTCGAGACCCGAGTGCCGCATGACGGAGTGAGCTCCCGTCTCTGGTCCCAGCTCCTGCCAACCTAGCAGTTAGAAAGCAAGAAATTGCGAGTAGATAAATAGGTACCACTTGGGTGGGAAGGTAACAGTGTTCTGTGCACCTCGGTGTCTAGTCATGCCGGCCACATGACCACGGAGAAGTCTTCAGACAGCGCTGGCTCTTCAGCTTGGAAATGGAGATGAGTACCGCACTCTAGAGTCGGATTTGACTGGCTTTGAGAAAGGGAAACCTTTACCTTTACCTTAATTTAGTATCACCCTGACCTGGATAGCCCAGGCTAGCCCGATTTCATCAGATCTCAGAAGCTAAGCAGGATTGGCCCTGGCTAGTATTTGAATGGGAAACCACTGAGGAATACCAGGGTCGTGGCATGGAGGCAGGCAAGGGCAAACCACCTCTGAACGTCTCTTGTCTTGAAAACCCCATGAGGTCGCCATGTCAGCTGTGACTTGAGGGCACTTTCTGTTAGAGAAGTGAAGGACTATGCGCTGTCCCTGCCTCAGTCTTCGGGAGGTCACCATAGATTTAGTCAGACAGGTCAGGACACACACAGCATCCTCTCCTTCCGGTTATCTGATCCTCCTATCCCCTTTGAAATAGAGTGCTATTATTAGGAATGAGTTTCCTTCCTTCCGGCTTGACACCTCACTCTCACACACACTTCCTCTCACACACACAAAACAAGGAGCACGTTTTCTCTCCATCCTTGAAGAATGGGTTCAGGTGCACTTTCCCCTGCATCCATACCCATCCTAGGTAGTTAGAATAGATTCTGTCCCTGTCTCTCATCTATACTGTCTAGAATGACGTTCCATATCATAAAGAACTCTTCATTCGTTTTGAATCTGATTACTGGCTCTGTGCAACTTTGTGAGCTTGCTAGCAAACTCAGTGCCACGGCTTTGCTGCGTGGAAAATGCCTCATGCACTCTGCTACATTAACAGTGATTCCTGGCTCTACTGAAACCCAAGAATCCAACATACGGAAGTTCTGGAATACAGCTGGATCAGGGGTTGCCTTGAGTAGACTTCAAGCTACTTAACTGTGAAGAATCATCATAAATATTTCAATAGCTCTTGTCAGAGTAAATGAGCAAAGCCTGCTTTATGAGGCAGGACCGACGTTTCATTTCTTCCTTTCTTTTTTTTTTAAAAAAAGTGCTGTGGTTGTTTGCTTGCTTACTCACTGGCTCACTTGCTTTGGCAAGCTGAAAAGGAGCTGCCCACGCATCCAAATGGGATTGGGAAAGCAGACAGTTTAGATTGCCGAACCCATCGGGGGATGGAGAAAAGCTGGCAGTTGTGCTCCGATTATCATTTCCCTCCAAGGAGGGATTTGAGAATTCACTATTACTCCGGTGTCATTCGCACTTCGTGATATTTATTGCGACGGTTGTTTTCAGAGCCGGCTCCTTCTGCCGGCTCCCCAAAGGACACCAGTACTGGAAAGGCTTCGTCTGGAATCAGCATCGGTGTATGATCCCCCTCCTCCACTAAGCTGACTTCGGGTTCCTTCAAAGGAGTGATGTTCCCGGCCTGAGCTGTGGGGAACAGGGAAGCCGGTGCCAGAAAGGGATGATGTTACGGTTGGGCATAATTACAACATATTGACAGGCTAGAAGCAGAGTAGTTAGCACAGCAGTAGACATGAATGACGTATAGTTTCGTAATCCTTTTTACTAACTTTTAACATTTTATATAGTGGAATTGCTGGGATTGCAAGGGGTTTTTTTTAATGGGAGGAGGAATGCGGGGTAGGGTTGTCAGCCAGCTTGGTGTAGTGGTTAGGAGCGCGGGCTCTAATCTGGGAGAACCGGGTTTGATTCCCCTCTCTTCCACATGCAGCTGCTGGTGTGACCTTGGGTCAGTCACAGGTTCTTTCAGAGCTGTTCTCTCTGGAGGAGTTCTCAAAAGAGCTCTCTCAGCCCCACCCACCTCACAGGGTGCCTGTTGTGGGGAGGTGAAGGGAAAGGAGATTGTAAGCCGCTCTGAGACTCCAAGTGAAGGCCGGGTCATAAATCCAATCTCTTCTCTTCTTCTCTGGCAACCAGCAGGGACCAGGAGGGTGGGGATATGGGGGAGTGGTCATCAACTGACAGTGTAATGTCAATTCTGAGGGAACCCAGAAGTAATGTTAGGCATCTCTAAGAACTGTGA